AGGGCCTCTTGGACCGTCTTTGGAGCCTCCTTGTGCAATCTTGGTGCGCTCTTGGGCCGTCTTGGGGCCTTCTTGGGTCATGTGGGGGCCATCAGGCTGCTTCGGCCGTCAGGTTTCCGAGAGTCGCAACATGCGAGACCGCGAGAATCCTAAACTCACGGAACATCAGGGTTTTTGGCTTCTGGAGGCGTTCTTGGAGGGCCCCTTGTGGCTTGTTAGGGCCATTCGAGGGCCTCTTGAGCCCTGTTGGGGCCATCTTGGGCCGTCTTGGGGCCGTGTGGAGTCGTCTTGGGGCCGTTTTGAGCCGTCCGTAGGCCTTCTTGAGGAGGAGGAGGATGAGGAGGAGGAGGAGGAGGAGGAGGAGGAGGAGGGGGAGGAGGAGGCCCCGTGGAGTTCCAAGGTGCCAGAGACATGGATCTTCTGACGTTGTTTACGACTACCGACCGACTCAGGCTCGGCACGCCGGCGGCGGCCCCAGCGGGGGATGAATCGGAGGCGACGACGGGGGCGAATAGCCCACGGGCGGACACTACATGTAATCGCCTGGGAGCCTCGCCGAAGGCATGGACCATCGGCGCCTCTGGATACATGCATTGCTCTCCCCGGGACTATTCGCCCCCATCGTTGCCCCCGATTGCGCTGCAACGGATACTTTGACAATGCTTCGCAAAGGATAGTGTGGCAGAGCTTCACAGGTGGGCTTCCTCAGCGCATCGTGACTTGGCTCTTGCGTCACACGTCCGTTCGTTCGGACTGCCGAGACGCTGCGCTGAAGTCTGGACATGGATCCATTGGCTTACGCCGCAACGCCGCCCCCTGGGGGGCATTCTGGTTACCTGCCACGGGAACAAGAATTCTCTTGTTTTGCGGGGTGCGCGTCTGGAGCGCGTAGAGCATAGAAATGTTGGGGGCGCCCGGGAGCCTTTCGGAAGCCTCTTGTGGCCTTTTGGGGCTGTCTAGGGCCGTCTTCGGGCGCTCTTGGGCCGGCTGACGTCGCCAGAAGACGTCTTGGGGTTCCCTCTGGGCCGCACCTTGGATGCCTCTTGGGCGGTCTTGGGTTGCCAGTAGTTTGAAATTGCGAGAGGGGTAAAATCAATATATTCTTCCAGGGAAACCTTCGAATTTTGCTTCGGAGACCCTCTTGGGGGTCCTTGGAGCCCTCTTGGGCCTTCTTCAGAGCCTCCTGGGCCATCCGGAGGCTGTCGTGGTTTCGTTTTGTAGCGATTTCGGGCATCTTGAGGCCATCTGGAGCCGTGGTGCGGCCATGTTCCCTCGCTTAACTGCAGCTGGCACGAGGGTTAAGAACAACCCTGGCTGTGGAGTCAGTCAAATCAGTCCAGTCCTATGAGGGCCCCTGGCTTCGCAAGCGGAGACGGAGGGCGTGATGAAATACGGCAACACAAACGCGCACGCAAAAGGGCTAAAGAGCAAGGCTCACAATTTGTCTCTTTTCCTGGCCGTGTGGTCGATACGAGGGCTCGCAGCTTCAGGAGTGATGGTCGACAGGGAATGTTCTTCGTTTAGGGTTCCTCTTTACGGCCTTCGGCTTTCGGCGAAGGGGGACATGTTCTTGACGCATGTTCCTGTGCCCATGTTTCAACTGTACGGCCCTCTGGGACGATCTGCGCGCGCGCCTTGGAGATTGTCATGGCCGGGTGGGTCCGTTGGCCCAGGCAGTGAGCCCGCCAGCCTTGGTGGCCTGGCCCGGCTCCCCTCCTCCAGATCTCAGTGGCAACCTTGTGGGGGGATGGGCAAAGGGGGGAATGCAGCGGCCCCCAACCGCCCATCGGACGACCCCGGCTCCCCGAGAGAGCCCGCCCGGCCCAGGAGCGTGCGGCTCCGCTGTCCGGGGGCGCGCCGCGGATCTGCCGCCGAGGTGCATCGCCGACCCAAGCCCCAGATGCTGCCTCTCAGAGCCAGCCTGATCCTGTCGTCGAGGTGTGTCGCCGACTCTGAGCCGCTGCCTCTCAGAAGCGGCCGGACCGGGCTCCCGCGGGCGGGGCAAGGGTCTCGCGCCATCGGCCAGCGTGCGTATTCGGCTCGGCCACACCCGCCGCGGAGCCCGGCCTCGACACCTCGGCGATGCGCAGGGGCGCGCGCGGCTCTTGGCGCCCGCCTCGTTCTGGCCGCCGCGCTCGCCCGCGGCGTTAGCCCGCGCTGTGTGGGGCGCCGAGGCTCTCTTGAGCTCGCCGCCGGCGCCAGTGCGCCCAGCTCGGCCTCGGCGGGGTCGTCGAGGAGGAGGGGGAGGAGGAGGAGGAGGAGGAGGAGGAGGAGGAGGAGGAGGAGGAGGAGGAGGAGGAGGAGGGGGAGGAGGAGGAGGAGGAGGAGGAAGGAGGAGGAGGAGGGGGGAGGAAGGAGAGGAGGAGGAGAGGGGGAGGAGGAGGAGAGGAGGAGGAGGAGGAGGAGGCGGAGGAGGCGGAGCAGGAGGAGGAGGAGGAGGCGGAGCCGGAGGAGGAGGAGGAGGCGGAGGAGGCCTGCCCAAGGCCGCCGCTGGGCGCGTGCATCCGTTCGAGATCGGCCCTCCGCCCGCGCGGCTCCGCGTGGCAGGGCGAGACGCCTCGCCGTCGCCTGCGGCTGTGGCGCCGTCCGCAGCCCCGCCACCCGCGACCCCCATGGGCTGTCCCCCACGGGCAAAGGGCTTTCGGAGTGGCCTCACGGGAGTCCCCTGCGACCCCCATGGCTGTCGCCCACGGCTGTCCCCCCCCCCCCCGGCTGTCCCCCCCACGGCCGGCTGTCCCCCACGTGCCCGCGACCCATGGCTGTCCCCCGCGGGCTGAGGGCACGGGCTTCCTCGGAGTGGCCTCATGGGAGTCCCCTGCGGGCCTTGAGAGTGCGCCCGTGCCTCTTGCCTGCGCTCCGGCGCCGCCGCCTTCTCGGGCTCGGCCGCATTGCGCTCGGCCGCCGCCCTCGAGGCCTGACGCTCGGTTTTCGCCCTGCGCTCGACCTCCTGGCGATCCTGGGCGGCGTTCGCACCGCCCGAGCCACCCTTGGTCGTGCGGCAAGTCCGTGCGCAGGTCGCCATCTTGGGCCCCTGCGCCCATGGCACCGCCGTCGGCCGTGCTGCAGTCGCTGTGGAAGGGGGAACCGGCCCCGACAAGTGCAGCCGTCGCCCGCGCGGGGGCTGCAGTCCCAGGGCGAGGGCACGGCGCCTCGCCTTCAGGGCCCCTTCATTGCTTGGCCGCAATATGCTTCCCACTGCCGCGGAGGGGTTTGCGCACATCCTCCGTGGACGTCTTCCTCTGCAGGTCGAGCTGTTCTTCTGCTTGGGGTATCGCCGTGTCGCCTCTTCGAAAGCGACCAGCGTGCCGCAGATCGCACCTGCTCGCGGACCCATTGCCGACCCCACCGCGGCCTGCACCGCGTGCCTGCGCAGGCAGTCGTGCAACCCACGCCGCTTGCCCGAGGCCAGGATGCCGTTGAGCAGGCAGCGCCGTGATAGCCTGCGGTGGGGACCCCAGAGCGGCGCACTCTACCGTGGGACCGGAGTAAAAGGTGAATGAACAGGGACCTTCGCCAACGGGACCATCGAAACGACAGGAGCAACCTGCACCTGTGCCGGACCCCTCGAGCCCAAATGGCCACAGAGCCCCCCCAAGCTGGCGAGGGCGGGGAGGAGGGGGATGGGGGGCGGGATGGGGTGGACGTGATGCCGGCCGCGCTGGAGGCGCACTCTCTCTGCCATCATTTCGCGGCCCCTCCGTGGCCGACGAGGCAGGCGGGCGACAGCCCGCCAACGCTGACGCTGCGAGCCTTGTCTCCGCGGCTTCTGCCCGAGCAAGCAACGAGGGGGGAGGGCAGGTCCCTTGGGATCTCCGCCAGCCCCCTCGCGCTGGCCCGCTCACTCTTCGGCTGCCCCTCCTGCCCCGCCGGGCGCGGGGCGCGCTGCCGCGGAGGCGGTGGCCAGAGGGCCGAGCCACAGACTCGCGTGGGCCTCTCTGGCAGCCCATCTCCGCATGCGCGATGCACTTCTCTGCATCCTTGTGGAGGCTACCAGATAGAGGCCGCCGACTTTCGCCTTAAGGCGGTTTGAGGCCACCAGAGGCCGCTGATAGCACACCGAGGCGGTGTGTGTAAAGATGACAGACGGCTGGCTCCCGCCCGAGCCCCGCTCTCTTGAGAGCTCCGCCAGAGCCCCCGCGTGGGAGTCGCTTCGGGCCTGGCCAGCTGTCCTGCCGGCCGCCTCGCGCGCTGCTGCTGCGGAGGTGGCCCCGGAGCCGAACCGCGGCTTGGCGGCCCGCCCCCCTCTGAGCCCCCGGCCCCCCAGGTGCCCTCGGAGGTCTCTGCGGGGGCAACGATAGGGGGGATGGGCATGCCGCTGGGATGCATTGACCCCTAGTCGCCCGTTGATCGCCGATATGGGCCCGACAGCCCCAGCCTGCACAGGATGCCTGCCCAGGAACGTGCGGATTCACTATCGGGGGCCTGTGGCCGATCTATGGGCGGTGTATCGCCGATTCCAGATTGATGTCCCCCGTATGCCAGTCCCCCGTAGTGTGGCCCTTCATCTGTGGAGGCCTGTGCAGGGCCAGAAAGTAATGTAGGCCAGCGACCACGAGACAAACCCGACCCTGATCCTCTAGCCTCGACGCGTCGTCAGTCTGCAAGGGTGTCCGCGGTGCGGTCGGTTCGCGGCTGCTTCGCAGTCGGCTACGTTCGGTTCGGTCCAGTCAGTTGTTGCGCCGCCGCGTCCGTCTGGGCGTTTGGGCTGCATTCGGTCCCTTGGTTTGGAGTCGGTCTCGGTCTCGGTTGCGCTGCCGTCGTGGGCGCCTACGGTCTGTCCCAATCGGTCTGTCCTGACCTGCCCACGGGCGGAGCCGCTCCCCTCGGAGAGCTCCGGTGGCGCAGGGGCTGGACTCAGAGATGTGGGGGGGGGGCGCTGCAGCGTCGCGTCGCATCGTTGAGAGCGCAGGAGTTCTGGGTGGAGCCTCCTTCCCCCGACGGCCCTTTGAGCCCCGCGTCGGCTCGCCTCGGGCCCCGGCAAACTGCCCGCGCCGCCGGAGGCTTCGCGCGCAGCCGCCCGCCTGCTCCAACGTGGACAGGGCCAGCACCCGGCCGCCGCCGCTGATGCGCCCCCGCCGGCACAAAGGGCGGAGAGGCGCCTCGATGGTCTTCAGGGGCGCCGACAGGGGGGGGGCATGGTCTCCTTCTCCTGCTCCTCCTCCTGCTCCTTCTCCTCCTCCTCCTTTTCCTTCTCCTCCTCCTCTTCCTCCTCCTCCTCGTCCTCCTCCTCCTCCTCGTCCTCCTCCTCCTCCTCCTCCTCCTCCTCCTCCTCCTCCTCCTCCTCCTTCCCCTCTTCCTCCTCCTCCTCGTCCTCCTCCTCCTCCTCCTCCTGCCTCCTTCCTCCTCCTCGCTCCTCCTCCTCCTTCTCCTTTCTCCTCCTCCTCCTCCACCCTCCTCCTCCTCCTCCTCCTCCCTCCTCCTCCTCCGCCTCCTCCTCTCCTCCTCCTCCTCCTCCTCCTCCCTCCTCCTCCCTCCTCCTCCTCCTCCTCCTCCTCCTCCTCCCTCCTCCTCCTCCTCTCCTCCTCCTCCTCCTCCTCCTCCTCCTCCTCCTCCCCCCCTCCTCTCCTCCTTCCTCCTCCTCCTCCTCCTCCTCCCCTCCTCCTCCTCTCCTCCTCCTCCTCCTCCTCCTCCTCCTCCTCCTCCTCCCCTCCCCTCCCCTCCTCCTCCTCCTCCTCCCCCTCCTCCATCCGCCTCCTCCTCCTCCTCCTCCTCCTCCTCCTCCTCCTCCTCCTCCCCTCCTCCTCTCCTCCCCCTCCTCCCTCCCCTCCTCCCCTCCCTCCTCCTCCTCCTCCTCCTCCTCCTCCTCCTCCTCCTCCTCCGCCTCCTCCTCCTCCTCCTCCTCCTCCTCATCCTCCTCCTCCTCCTCCCCTCCTCCTCCTCCTCTCCCCTCCTGCTCCCCTCCTCCTCCTCCTCCTCCCCTCCTCCTCCTCCTCATCCTCCACCTCCTCCTCCTCCTCCTCCTCCTCCTCCTCCTCCTCCTGCCCTCCGCAGGGGCACGGTGTCGTATCCTGGCACCGGCGCTACCTTAAGCGGAGGGCACACTGTCTGGGTTCTGGCCCAAGTCGGCGGAGACAAGAAGGCGGCCGTTGCTTTCCGTGGTGAAGGGTTCGACTCCCTCTCATCACGTTCTTTTTCATGTCAGGTGTGGCACTTGTTTGCCCTCCTGGGTCTGCGTAGCCGGCCCGCAGGATCAGGGTCGGCGCAGCGGGGTCCGCGGTATCAGGACCTGTGTCGCTCCAGAGGCGAGGATTGGAGCATCCGGAAGCTCAAAAAGTCGCATCCTCGCAGCACCACCGGAGCGGCACACCGCCTCAAGGAAGGCGGCCGCTAGTGGGCCAGGCGACTTGCCCTTGTCCCGTTCCGTCGCACTTATTCGCCTAAGTGCTCCCTTCGGGGATGCGACGTTCGTTGTCGCTCATGCACAGCTCCCACAGCTCCTCCTCCCCCCCCTCCTCCCCCTCCCCCTTATCTCCTCCTCCTCCTCCTCCTCCTCTTTCTGCCTCCTCCTCCTCCTCCTCCTCTCCTCCTCCTCCTCCTCGTCCTCCTCCTCGTCCCCTCCTCCTCCTCCCTCCTCCTCCTCCTTCCCCTCCTCCTCCTCCCCCTTCTCCTCCTCCTCCTCCCTACTCCTCCTCCTCCTCCTCCTGCCTACCTTCTCCTGCTCCTCCTCCTACCTCCGCTCCTGCTCCTCATCCCGTCCTCCCTGCTTTTTTCCCCCCCCCCCCCCCCCCTCTCCTCCTCCTCCTCCTCCCGGCCTCCTCCCGTCCTCCTCCTCCTCCTCCTCGTCCTCCTCCTTCCTCCTCCTCCTCCTCCTCCTCCTCCTCCTCCTCCGTCCTCTCCCCCTCCTCATCCTCCTCCTCCTCCTCCTCCTCCTCCTCCGCCCTCCTCCTCATCGGCCTCCTCCTCCCCCTCCCCCTCCCCCCCTCCCTCTCCTCCTCCTCCCTCCTCCTCCTCCTCCTCCTACCTCCTCCTCTCCTCCCCTTTCCCTCCTCCTTCTGCTGCTCCTTCTCCTCCTCCTCCTCCTCCTCCTCCTCCTCCTCCTCCTCCTATGGCCTATGGGGGGAAACCTCGACCCCGACGGCCCGTTCATCGCCAATCGGGGCCTGGGTGCCCCATCCTGCCCAGGGACGTGGGCTTCCCCTCCAGGGGCCCATCGCCGATCTGTCGGCGATGCATCGTCGATTCCAGGTCATTGTTCCCCTCCCGAGCCAGTTCCCCCCCCTCCATTCCTCCCTCGTGTCCCTCCCGACCCCTCGGCTGGCCCCCAAGAGGCCGTCGGAGGGAGTCCCCAGGAGTCCCGCGGTGTCTGACTCTACGGTGGTGTCTATTCCTTCGGCATCAGGGGCCGCCCCTTCATATGAGGTGCGGTTGGCAGCTCTTGTGGAGAGACTTCGTGACAAGGAAGCTGCCTCTTCGAGAGGCCAGTAATCTGAGCTGAGCTCAGTATTTGGTGCTGTGCACTTCCCCCGTCAGGGCATTCCGTTCCTGAGCCAGGCAGGCCTAGGATGATGATGCTTAAGTCGTTCTGGAGCGTTTCGGAGCGCTCGCAGCGCGCTCCAAAGCGGCTCCTGACCAGACGGCTCTCAGAGCTTCCCGATCCATCCTCGTTCGCTCCTTTCAGCCCTCCCTCCGTGACTTGAGCTCCCCCCTCCGCGCGGAACCCAGGGCGTCGCGGGGCGCTCCCCCCTCCGCGCGGAACCCAGGGCGTCGCGGGGCGCGGTGGGGGCCCAGGGTCGCGCACGAGGACCGTTTGTTGTGGTTGTTGTTGTTGAACATTATTAATTCTAAAGAATAATTATTGTTGGGACCCCTGGTGCACGGCCCCCCTGCGCCGCCTAGGCCGCAGCTACATTTTCATCATTTTCGTGAGGAAGCCTCAGGTAATACGATGTGATCAAGATCCGGTTGTTTTGTTGTAATCCGTTTTCCCTTGCAAAAAACACTATAAATGACATTTCTTGTTCTAATATAATCAAATTTCAAGAATCCCTTGCAAAAAATAAGGTAAAGTGGACATTCGCGCGCGCAAGACGAAATCCTTCCAAAACCTTAGTGTTCGCAGCGACTTTAACATACAAACATCAAAAAAAACAATGGTTTTTCAACAAAAAAACTGTCAAAATCTCATCCCGCGCGCTCTTGCGGATTCGTAGGAAACCCAACACTTTTTAAACATTTCTGTCAAACGGGCTTTTGCGAGCAACTTTTTCGAACTTCTGCGACAACGGTTGCGCACCTGCCAGGGCCATCATCCCTGTCAGATAATACCATGCGGGACACATTCGTTTTTTCTTCGCGCGCGCACGCCGAAATCTCCAAAAACCATTGGGCTTCTTAAGAATTTTAGCACCGCGCATCATAAAATCACACGAATCGCACCGTAGGTCCTCGAAACACACCTGCACGACTTTTCAAAATTTCTACCCGCGCGCGCTGTCCGAATCCTAAAAAACCAATGGTTTTCCAACATTTATGTTACATGAGCTCGCGCGAGCTACTTTCGCACGCTCTTGCAACGGGGTTCGCGCGCCTGCCAGGGGCCACAATCCCTTGCGGTTGCGCCATAGGTTGCGCCCTCGGCCGCCGAGAATAAAACGCCCCCCTATTGGTTGCGTCATAGGTTGCGCCCTCGGCCGCCGAGAATAAAACGTCCCCCTACTGGTTGCGCCATAGGTTGCCCCAGGAGGCCTTCAAGAGGCCCCAAGAGCCCGCCGTGAGGACCCAATAGCCCCAAGGATTCAGAAAAGAGGGGGTATAGGGTGAAAACAGAAAGTGGTATTGGGATGTATGGCGGTGAGGAAGAGCGGGAAGGAAGAAGGGGAGAGTGCCAAGTAGAGAAGAAATAGATCAAGGAGAAGCAAGAAAAGGAAGATAGTAGTGGGGAGAAGGTAAGGAGAAAGAAGCGAAAAGATGATGAGGCAGAGGATGAGAGGGAGGAGATTATTGAGGAGGGAGTAGAATGGGGGAGAGGGAGGCAGGGAGGGACCAAGGGGTTGAAGGGCAGACCCAAGTGACAAAGCCCCGAATAAGTGATCGCAAATCTGTGGGTGTGTACCCCACGCCAGTGTAGTAGCCACGGTCGTCCGCACGCCACGAAGTGAAGTGTCCCAACGTCATAGGGCGGGAAGCTGGGTTTGGGTGGTCGCGAAGAGTCGTTTGGATATTTGGTAGAGCTTGTAATGCCCCCCACGAAGTGGGGGTATTGCCTGGTGTCGTATGAAAACCCTGGCACTGGGGAGAACACCACGCGTTCGGGTAAAATGATTGTTGTTGTTGTTGTTGTTGTTGTTGTTGTGTTGTTGTGTTGCTAACTGCTGCTGCTGTTTTGTTGTTGTTGCTGCTGTTGTGGTAGTGGGTCGTGTCGTGGTCGTGTTTGTGTTTGTGGTTGTTGTTGAGACTTGCTGCTGCCTGGCTGTGTGCTGTTGTTGTTGTTTGTTGTCGCGTCGTCGTCGTCGTCCGTCGTCGTCGTTGTTGTTGTTGTTGTGTTGTTGTTGTTGTTTGTTGTTGTGGTTGTGGTTGTTGTTGTTGTTGTTGTTGTTGTTGTTGTTGTTGTTGTTGTTGTTGTTGTTGTTGTTGTTGTTGTTGTTGTTGTTGTTGTTGTTGTTGTTGCTGCTGTTGTTGTTGTTGTTGTTGCTGCTGTTTTGTGGTTGTTGTTGTTGTTGTTGCTGTTGTTGTTGTTGTTGTTGTTATTGTTGTTGTTGTTGTTGTTGTTGTTTATGTTGTTGTTGTTATTGTTGTTGTTGTTACTGCTGCTGCTGCTGCTGCTGTTGTTGTTGTTGTTGTTGTTGTTGTTGTTGCTGTTGTTGTTGTTGTTGTGGTTGTTGTTGTTGTTGTTGTTGTTGTTGTTGGTGTTGTTGTTGTTATTGTTGTTGTTGTTGTTGTAGTTGTAGTTGTTGTTGTTGTTGTTGTTGTTGTTGTGGTTGTTGTTGTTGCTGTTGTTGTTGTTGTTGTTGTTGTTGTTGTTGTTGTTGTTGTTGTTGTTGTCGTTTTTTTTGTTTTTTTTTGTTGTTGCAGGCACTTTCAGGCCCTTTCGGATAGTTTTGGGAACGAGCTTCGGGGCCTTTTGGGC